CTGGTACCTGCATCCCATCAAAACAGGGATGATTGAAACGGACAGAAAGCACCAGAAGAATACCATCTCTACAACCGTATTTCTGGAGTTGAAGCCCCGTCTTGATTCATGCTGATCTTTCCTATCCACAGAGAGTAAGTGGGGGATACATAAAGCTTTCTTTAAATTTCATTCTTTAGACACGTCATCTGAAAACAACAAACTCCACTATTGCACCTATTACGTTTAATTGTAATTATCTATGTATACACTTGTCTGCCCCTTTAGTCTTTGACCTGTTCCAAGGCGGGACTTCGGGTCCATTTTTGTATTTTCAGCACCTAACACAGTGCCACTTACTGAGTAGACACTCAAAATATGTTTGGATTATGACTGAATGGCTGGATAGATGGAAGGACGGATGAAACACACCCAAATCCACACTAATTACCCCAATTCTCAAATTCAAAAATACTTACAGATACATATGGATCCTTTGTATACATGCCTCTCCGCCCCCCCCCGCCCCCCGCAAAACAAAAACAAAAACAAGAAAACACAAACTGTTCAGAGGGCACTGACCGGTTGGGAGGTAAAGAATGTCATCTCATTTTCTCCGCTAACTCGATGTGCGATCTTGGACAAGTCACTTGTCTTCTCATCTGAAATACGAGGGAAGTTGGCCCAGATATTTGAGGCCCTTTCCAGTCCAAAATTTCCATAATTCTATGGCTATCCACCTACGTTAATCAGATTTATCTAAATAATCACACACACACAAAAAAACACTTCATGCTGGAGAAAGTCATAATAAACTAAGCAAAACCAAATGCCCTTCAATATCCTGTTGTGAACTGTAAAATGTCCCCTAAAATCACATTTTCCCCTTGAAACAGGATGTAGGAAAAATATTTTCCTATTAAATCCTTTTAAAGTACAAAGGAAAGCATTTATTCTGTGATTTGCCATCCAACTCAATAAAAAGTAGAGAATTCGGCCATCTTAATTACGGAAGACACTGTCACAACGCAAAGGTGGTGGGAATCCGGGCTGGAAATCCAGACGCCATGCCGACGAACACATGGCCGGTCTTTTCTGGAGGGAGTTTCCGAGTGCGTGTCGAGCGGTTTATTTCTGCCATTATGTCAGGGAAACCAGTAAATGAGTTTTTATGAGGTGATTTATGAAACTCCTGGGGTGGACGAAGTGAGCGCTGGGGAGAAGTGGTACCAGCTTCCAAACCCTTGGGGGTTAAGGGAGAGCGAGGACTTGAACTTTGGGAACTGTTGATGGCTTTGCTGCAAGTTGTGTCCTTTAAGATGGGTTAAGCAAAGTGGGGCTGTTTCTTAAGAGAGGTAGAAAGGGCGCGAAGATTTCAGAGGAACGTCGCCCTGCGCTTTGGGTACGTGGAAGCCACCTGCTCATCCAGGAAGGCACAGGAGGGGTCTGCTCAATTCACAATCACTCCACCTGTTGGACCTACTACCTGTGGCGGGCGGAACAATGGTCCCCAAAAGATGTCCAAATCCTAATGCTTGGAACGTGTGAACACGTTAGGCTACATGGCAAGGGGGAACTGAGGTGGCCGATGGAATTAAAGTCATTAATCAGCTGGCCTTCAGATAGGGAGAGTACCTGGATTAGCTGGGTGGGCCACATGTCACTACAAGGTTCTTAAATGTGGAAGAGGGAGGAGTATAGGTGTCAGAGTGATAGGTTATAAGGACTCAACCTGCCACTGCTGGCTTTGAAGTGGAAGAAGGGGCCACAAGCCAAAGAATGTGGCAGCTTCTAGAAGCTGGAGAAGGGGAAGAAATGGATTCTCCCCCAGAGCTTTCAGAAAGGAAGTTGACCCTGCCCGCACCTTGATTTTAGCCGAGACCCGTTTTGGAATTTTGACCTCTAGATCTGTAAGATAGAAAACGTGGGTTGTTTTCAGCCACTAAGTTTGTGCTCATTTGTTACAGCAGCCGCAGGAAACTAACACAGTCCCAAAGCTCCCACCCAGCAGTGTGTCCTGACAGCCACGTCTGAACCATATGACTGGATGGTAAGCCATAGCTGATTGGACCAGGGGCAGATGTCTGTCCCAAGCTGGGCCAATTTTTTCTGCATGCTCAGAATGTGGGCTTGGAATTGATACAGCCGTGACTAGAAGCCTAACATAAACTCAGGGGCTGCCGGTGGCCCGTGTTTGGCCATGTGAACGAGAAGCAGAGAAAGCTGGTTTGCAAAGATAATTATATAGAGGAAGAGAGGGGCAGAGAGAGACAGAGAGAGGTCTGATAGCATTCTAGTTTCTAGCTCCCCTCTGAGGTGAAGTACAAGTCTGCAGGACAGATGGCTCACCCAGTCACTGCTTCTCACTGACATCTGAAAAAGGGCCATCTCCAGTTACTATGTTATTGTGGCAAGTTCATGATTCCATGGGCCCAGGAAATGCTGGTCTCCTCATGCCACCCCACAAGAAATCATACTTCTAGGCATTGGGCACCTTCCATGCAGCCTGCTTATACCATCTTTCCCGAAGGAAGTAGGGCTATAAAACCAACCTAAGGGATGTGACGATGACGACATCTCGGTGGCTGACAATAGAAAACTATTTCTCACTCACAGCTCACATCTGTCATGGGTTGGGCAACTGGATGTGCAATATACCCTCTTTTTCGTGGAGGCTGCATTTAAGGACTTCCGTGAGAGACCCCAAATGATCCCGAGCTGTCTGCATCTGTCCTGATTGTATGGAGGGTAAACTTATAGGATGCTGTATTTGGGAACTCCAATATGACTTACTCTTTTTCAAGGGAAGAGCGCCTGGCCTAGTGAATGAAACATTGTTATTTATGAAACGTAATTTATATACTGCATCAAACTGGGCAGTTTGTAGTATCACACCACACTGTTCTTCCTTTTTATCCATCACCCCTCTCGGCTTTATGGGGTTTCAAGTAGTTATCAGTCCACTGTCAACGGAAGTTTCCTTGCTCTGAGGTTAAAAGAGTAAAATAAAGTAAAAAATTAATAAAAATCAAAATCTCATATCCCACGGTCTGTGGGAAAACTAATGGCCTGCTCGGTGACTTCTCTAAGAAGACTATGTACTTGTGGTCACTTGTGCCTTTAGAGTCTGATGTTTTGCATTCACTTGGGTCTCATCTCCACAATCTTCTCCGCTCTGCAGATCCAGACAGAAAACTTAGACCTTTGTGGCCACCCTCTTACCCGCAAAGGCCCAGGGCACCAAATGCACACACTGAAGTTTTGGTGTAGCCCAGCCACTCCCATTCAAACGCCCTTTTCAATGGACTCCTCTCTCCTTCCCTGGCCTCCTCCCCAGGTTCTGGTTTCCCCCTCTAACCTTTAATTCAATCCCGTTCACTATATTATGCAGAGCAATTTAACTCTCTTTCACTCTGCCCCAGGCTTACCTTTGCCCAGCCAAAGACTCATTAATGTCTCAATAAAACAAAGGACCACTTATGCAATACAGAGGCATTGGCAGAGATTTTGTAACTTCTCATTTTCTCTTACTCTGTAAGCAGAAGAAAGCTGTATGGAAACTTATTTTCCTCATACAGGAAGGCTGAAGCGGCTATAGTTTGGGTTTTAAATAACATTTTCCCTCTTCTTTTCAAGTACATTATGTCCTTTCTGGACATATAGATAAATGTATTTAACACAACGAGTCTCAAACTGTTGCTCTTGGAACTCCTTTACCCTCAAAAATTATTGAGGACTCTAAATAACTTTTGTGCATATGACTTTTATCTATTGGTATTTACCATTTTAGGCATGAAAACTAAAATGTTATATATTCGCTCACTTAAAAACAAAAATAAATCCACTACATATTAACATAAATGGTATCTTTTTGTGAAAAAATACATTTTCAAAACAAACAAACAAAACTTAGAATGGCATCATTTGACATTTTTGCAAATCTCTTTAAAGTCTGGCTTCATGGAAGGCAGCTGTCCTGCATGCAGTGTTTTATCATAGCACAAGTCACACAGCCTCGGGAAAACTCAACTCACGAGAGAAAGAGTGAAAAGTCACATAATATCTTAGGATTATGAGAATAACTTTTTATCTTGCTGATCACTCTGACCACCACTGTTTTAATACTCATCCTATTTGTGCGTCGTATTTTAAATAAGAAAACAAACTTGACAAAATCAGTGAGATCGTGAATTAAATCTGAATCTGGAACCAAAAATGTAAGAGCACACTAACGTGCAGTCAATTTAAACAACTATGACTTAAGAGAGTATGTCTGAAAACTATCCATCAAGAATGAACAGAAACCGGTGACACTCATCCGCCCTTGTCTCCATCTGATAAATTCGCAGTCATCCTTCAAGCCTGCCTTCTCTAACAGTGATGCCTTCTCTACAGAGCTCTTCCCTACCACAAATGATGACAGTGATATTATTAACAACGGCAACTAATTTGTACTGGTCACAAATTAGCCACGCCAAGATACTTTACACGTGCTGTCTCATTTGATTCCCACAGTAACGCTCTGAGGAAGGCACTGGCTTCCTGAGGCTGAAAGCTGAAAACGAAAGGCCTCTGGCCTCTCTCTAGCTTTGTGCCATGCACACCTGCTCTGCCCTAGCACTTAGTGAACCCAGATTGTCACCGTCCCGCACCGTGCGTGCTTCGGTTCCGCACAAGGTGAATCCTTGAAGTCAGAGGTCAGGCCGGGTCGCTTCTGGTCCCCCACAAACCGCGTGGCCAGGCTCATTGCGGGAGCCAACGCGCAGGGATGGAGACTGTAGGCTTCCCCATTCTCTGGCTGCCAGGGCGCACATGCCCCAAGCGGACTGACAGGGCCTCGGGGCTCAGTGACCTCCCTTTGCCACCAAGCGGGACCAGGTTTGCTGGGAGGAGAGAAGGGCGCGGCTGTGCGCGCCGCGGGACCCGTCAAGCGCGCGGGCGGAAGCCGGAACCTTTTTCCTCTCGCCGTAGTAACCCCGCGGCAGCCGGAACCTTTCTTCTCGCGTCGCTGTTGGCGGGCGGAGGAGTGCAGACCCGGAACGGTCCTCCAGCGGCCGGGCTCGCACAGCAGTCGCCGAGTGCTGACGTGGGCCGGCTCCGCGGGGTCGGGGGCAGGAGGTGCAGGTCGCCATGGCGGTGGACATCACGCTGCTGTTCCGGGCCAGCGTCAAGACCGTGAAGACGCGCAACAAAGCGCTGGGAGTGGCGGTGGGCGGCGGGGTTGATGGCAGCCGCGACGAGTTGTTCCGCCGGAGCCCCCGGCCCAAGGGCGACTTCTCCAGCCGGGCGCGCGAAGTGGTAAGCTGGTTGCTATGGAAACGGCGGGCTGGCGAGTCGGGGCGACCCGCGAGCAGACCCCAGACCAGACCCTGTCCCGTGAGCATTGAGTGAAGGGAGCGCCTGGAGAAAAGTGGGCTGAAGCGGGGACGGGGGAGTTGGTCCCAGAGTGCCGACAGCTGTCTTAGGAAAGGAGCAGCCTTATTTCGAGGAACGGGGACGTATATTGGGGAACTCTAGGAAGCAGATTTCTCTTGGGGGGAGAGATGCTTGGAACTCTCAGTTCGCAGAGTTCATGGGCAGATTATTTTAAGGTAACGAGTTCACCGTCACAGCAGACTCACGCCGGGGAAATTTCCCCACAGCCCTCACAGATCTTTGCTCTCCTGTCGCGGGACTGACCACAGTGTATTTGCCTCTTCGGTTTCCTTGTCTCGTGCTCCTACACTTCCTCCTCTCCGCCCCCAGCATTGCGTTCAAAGGTCATGTTCAGCTGACCTCTTCCTTCTCGTCTCCTGAAATAGATTAGGGATCAGTACATCTTGCGACTGGTTTAAGATAATCTTTCACAAACACTCTGCGTCACAGTCATCTAAACTACTTTGTTTCCCGAACACAGCGGGCTTTCATTCAGGAGAGCAAGGACTTTATCCTTAAGGGCAGGGACAGTGTTGGCTTGGCCTCAGAATCGCCAGTTCCTGACTCAGCATTAGTATGTGTTTGTTGAATGAAAACATGAACAGATGGTTGTCTTCCCCCACTAAACTCTGTAAGGAGTGAGGAAACTGTGTAAGGAGAGAGGTGTTTGCCTTGTTCACTTTTGTACCTTTGGCACCAAGGGTGAACATTGTTTTTGTGGAACTAGAAGCTTATACAGTTCTGTCTGTTCTCTTTAAGAAA